GTGATGGGCGGGTTAGGGTCTACCTTCATTGACCCGTGACCTGTTTGACCCGTTACCCGTTCTGACCCGATCTGACCCGCCCGTTTGCCAGGTTTTTCAGATGCACTAAACTCTTGGCAAGTGCTAAAGTTCTAACTGCTACACTAAGAATCTCCCTATTCCCCTTTCCCCCAATTGCCCTTGCTCAAAAAAAAAAAAAAAAGTCTTATGGATGTCTTTTTGGGTTAACTTTTTTAAAGCATTAGATTTTTTTAAAGAGTGTTTTCTAAATTAAGAAAGTAAATTGTAATTCATTCCTCCACTAATAATTAAAAATAGTATAATTTGTCTAGATACACTACAACATTCTCTGTATGAAATTATGAATTTATGATTCATATTTTGGCAAAACTTCTATTTAAATATCACCCCTACAAAGTAAAACGAAAACTACAGAATACTCCCTTTCTTTTTTTGCCTTTCCTTTTCTTTGGTTAAACAAAAAGAAAATGATTTAAAAATAATTTTTTATATTATTTTTTACATAAACTTATGTATCATTTAAATGATTGATTTTTTTTATTCATTTAGAACTTATAATATTTAATACATTTATTCATTTAATTATATATAAAAATTATATAAAAAAATGATACAAAAAAAATTGTTCTTATATTGCTACCCAAACAAAAATAGGATGGCATATTCCGTTGGCCTAAATGAAAAATATTTAGAACGGTATTTTTATATAATTTTTTAACACATTTATATATAATTTAATAATTAATTTTTTACTTAATTAAAATTTATAATATTATATTTATTTATTTATTAAAAATTATATAAAAAATTTATCTCGACATCATCTTCCCTCCAAAATTGAGCTTAAATCCGGCTCAAAACTAAGCCATCATCGTTAAATTTATTTTTAATCATTTTCAATTTATTAGTACTTTGAATTTTTATTTAAATTTTAAATTAAATAATTGCATCAACCATTAGCCGTACGTGGGCTCCATATCACCATCCACGTACCTCCAAATTCCCAACTACAAAAACACAGTTCCTTCCAATATTGAGCACACTACATCTTGTGCAAACCCTCCTTGCCAAAATTACCAAAGCATATATCCATTATTCCCTTCTCTGCCTTTCACAATGCCGAATCCGGTCCACCAACGGAAACGAGCAGTAGCCGTGTGGCGGGCTTGCCTAGCCTCTGCCTTTCGCCCTGCCCTGGCCTGCACCATGGTGGGCTTTGCAACTCTCTACGGCCCACCTTCCTTCCAACGCCAAGTAGCTTTCCCCTCGTTTTCTTATGTTACTGTAATCCTCATTGTGACAGACGCCACATTGGGTGACGCGTTGCATGCTTGTTGGCTGGCGCTGTACGCCACGTTGCAGAGCCTAGGACCCGCCATCTTGAGCCTGTGGTTGATAGGACCCTCCCGGCTCACCAACGGCACGACGGCTCTTGCGGTGGCGCTCGGAGGGTTAGTGGTGGCATTGCCCAGATCGACTCATTTGACAGCAAAGCGGATAGCGTTGGGTCAGATTGTGTTAGTGTATGTTATTGCCTTTATCAACGGCATCCAGACTGATCCGGTTATGCATCCGCTGCACGTGGCGGCCAGCACCGCCGTTGGAGTTGTGGCTTGCGTTTTGGCCTTGTTGGTTCCTTACCCACGGTTAGCATGTTGGGAGGTATGTGTCATTTTCATTTCTTTAAAACCTTTGCATCCAAGAAAAAGATCACTTAAA